ATTTTCATAACAACGAGAAGTAAAATACCAACAAGAACAGCAACAACATAATAACAAAACGATCCATAGGCCCATTTCGTGTCCAACAAGATACGATCTCAATAAAGCATTGAAATCGAGCTAATATCAGTGATATCTACAAGTGTGTTTTGGAAACCGCAGCCTAGTAAATAAAATATTCTACACGAAGTTTCCGGCGTATAACCTGAGAAAAACAAACACGACCTCTCTTTGCTACCGCTTAATCCCTGTTAATGTAAAAAGGCGAGTAAAAAGCATGATTTCTGTCATGTCTACAGCGCACGTGGACGAGGTGTGCCTCCAACAATTTGTGTCTATCGAGTTGTGTTACTATTTGTCTATCCACACACAGTTGATTTTATGGTATCTCCTGTAGCCAAGTATTGCTTCAACCATAACCCCGCATCAGAGGAGTAAACAACTTTGCGGTATTCATTATTGCTGTATTCCAAGATTTGTTACGTGGCATCGAAAACGAATGATTTAGTTTAATCCCAAAGTTGGTTTAGTTGTCCGAGCCTTAACTTGACTTGAAGTTTTAGCCCATGACATTTTGAGCTGGGTAGAACGCTGAATAAAGATTCCAATTGCTGTATTCCTAGATCATCGTAGGTTTCAGTAACTACTTGTTGAAGGTTTTGTGAGAGCAAACAAAATAAAAAACTTCCCACGTAAGTGTAAGAAATACGCATATTTAACCACGTGTTTTGTCGCTTCGGTCGTTTATACTGACCGGTCAGTCACAAATGTTTTAGGTGATTTATAGTTGCAGATTGATTTTTTTTTCAAATGTGGTCGGTAGCACGTCCAACTGTGTCCCATACTTGGATGTAGATAAATTTGAATTATTATCTGATTAGGGTAGGGCGTGTCCATGTGATGCTTGAGTATATTAATATTCAACCAATTGTCCGATATTTAACGAAGATAAAAAATAGAAAGAGTTATTCTTGCCTCAATACCAGATATCGAATTGGATAAACAACCCTATTTACTTTGCAACTTGGTCAGTCCTCAAAAATGTATTCATCCGATGAAAGTACACAAACTAGGTTGTCCGATGAATCGTGAGGATTTATCTTTGGCCCAAGCCAGACCAAAACTTTGTTAAGCAATATGGTTTGGGGTCATCAGATATTTGTGTAAATTCTGAGGTTGTGTCCGACTTTTGTTCTTGTCTCGTGTGATGGGAAAATTTGAACTCGTTCTTAAAAATAGTAATAGATGTGTCTGGATCAAAATCCCCTTTGGTACTCACTCCATGCCTTAGCAGATTTTCACAGCCTGCGTGAATTTTGGATTACACGTTACATGTGGGAATGGGAAATGCGAAGCAGAATGAGTTGTTTTTTTCAATTTGTGGGGTCTAACAACGACGGTAAACGTTTTACACTCAATGCCAAAAATAGCAAAATATACGCGCATTTGTGTAGCATTTTGAATAAATGTATCTGTACATCACACAGTCCCACGGAGATGAATGAACTAAATGCAGACTGTCCCAACCCAATTTGACCCAGAGGAATACTGGTGATCTCCGAACCCTTTTGTACAAATTATATTGGTTTTGTGTTTTGTTACGTCGTTGAATATGCATGGGCGCTAATAATTAAATTGTTCACTTGAGGCAATCTCAATGATCAATCAATAATTGAGCGTAGCAATGGAGATTCAAGATCGCGTACTTTCATCTCTCATTCTCTGCCGTAGCCACAGCTCAAAATTCCAAATTCTAAATCACGTTCCAGGAAATGGAGTATTGCTGCAGGCAATACACTGTGGTTGCTGCGGAGTGTTCAGCGCGGGTTCCGTTAATCAACTGACATGGTAAATAATATCATTTCATGACTCCGTCACGGCGAGCAAATATCCGCTCATTTCCAATTAGTCGTCGATTATTATGCAGATACATAAAACGTCACCAATACACTAAGCTGTAGAGTAATTCTCGGTGGGATCTCCTTTTAACCGCGCGACCACGAAGCGCACCTAGACCCATGGGACCCACAATGCAATGCGCGTTTCCTATTTATTTTTTCAATGAGCGGACGGAGTCGGTGCTGTTATTACGACCGACAGCTGCGACCCACAAATTTAAAGAGGTGTGCGACTGCATCGTGGTATATACTGTTCGAAAAATGCACAGATTCAATAGAATTTTACGGAAAATCATAAGGGAATTTCAAATACAACTGTTGTTAAGTTTTTGGCAATGCGGGACTTGGATAGTGTTAAAGCTAGTAAACAATTATTATGCTGTAGTAAAAATAACGAAAATGTTCAACAACAACATTCATATACTCTCGTATAATTATATTTAGATTCATGGCGAAACTGCGTGAAATAGAGATGAAACTAACAAGAATGTATACAGAAAAAAATATTTTTCTGAGCCTACGAAAAATGTTCAGAAGATCGAGATTTTAATTTGTGTAATGAACTCTCAAGTAGCTCTACAGTCTACACATTACAATACTCACACCCAACCAATGATATTAAAAGGAATCACAATGAGCTTTCACGAAATAGTTTCTTCAGTTGTGTTCGGTACAAGTACACAGACATACAGACATTCCAAGTCCAACCAGAACAAAATCAGTATGTTGAATTATTTTTTTTTCTTAATTTCAATCTTTAATAGGTAAAGTAATCTTTTTATAATGCTGAAATCGGAAGTTATGACTCTTCAAATCAGAATTCAAAATGATTTAATTCCATATCTATACAGCCAGTGTTTATTGATTTATGCGAAGAAAAAATTCACGAACTTGCAATCTTTTGCCTAAATCGATGCACGTCTGAAAAATCGTGTCGAAGATAAGCCCGAAATGATCTTCTTTATTTCATTTTCAATGCTAATTTAAACATATGCCTGTCAAAAATTGATAAAGCCTATTGTAAATAAATCATATAGGAACTAACGGATACAATGCCGGGAAATTTTATCTACAACGTGTCGTGGCAGAGAAAAAGGTGAAGGAAAAATAGGAATATTAGGAGAAGGGTTTATTCGGTTTCATTGCAATGTGACATATTTCGCGTGTACCAATATTTATGTTAAAATAACAAATATACACATTAGACATTGGTATGAACAAAATTGGTAATCATCCGTAAAACCACAAGATGTAATTTTCTAAACCTCAAATATGCTGACACACCTGTTTATAATACTGGTATTTTATTTCAAAAGTAAACATACGTAACAAAACAAAATATCAACAAATTCATCTAATTCCGGTTGGTTACAAATTAAAACTTTAGCGTAAAGAAGCGCTGAAAGAGACGATGAGTCTTTTAACAATTCTTCTGGGCATAATCATTCCCTACGATATTACGGTATTCATACAAACATAAGGTATTCAGGCGTAGGATAAGGTCCGAAACCAAATGTAGCCAAACCTCAACGCACGCGATCTCAATAAATTTGGAAAACGTAGTGTTTCTGAAATTGATGTAATTTTTTTCCAGACATTTATTTGGCGTGAATTTTCTCCCCAATATCCCAATGAAAACACGACCTGTCACAAACCTAAATTTGGACGCAAGGTTGAAAGGTCAAAGCAATCGCAAAATTGGATTCGTGTTCCGCAAATTTGCAACTATCAAAAACAGTCTGTACGTGATCTTCAGCAAAACCAAAATGGTTGAATTCATTTGTGTAAAAATGAGTCCGGGCATCATCTACGTCACCAGAACCCAAAGTCGTAATTCCGGCTGCAACCATAGCAACGCATTGCAGAGGAATGAGAAAAGCATGCATGGCGTCATAGCAACGATACGTATGGCGCCTGCGCTTGACATCATTAGGGGGCTTGCATGTCAATGATCATGACGGATGACATCGCATCGCAACAAAGCTTCACACTGGAAACAAGATTTGGATTCATGGTTAACCTCAGTACATGCCAATGCAAAACCGCGAGGTAGAAATCCGGAAAACAACTATCAGAGAAATATTTATGAAGATAAATTTGTTTCAGCAAATTATTTTGCATTTTCACATCATATTATTGAAAATTGTGTGGCTAGGTATAGCAGGAATTTCTATTAAATTGTGCCTTAAAAATAAACGATTGCCAGATTTAAATTAATATTTTTGATTTTATGACATTGCGCCATATTTTATAATTGTTTCACACGTCCGCTTCGAACATGACTCCAGGCAGGAGTTTAAACATCTGCGTTTGACTGTCGTCGAAAATGGCGCTCAATTGTTATAACAAAGCTGTCTTTACTCTGTTACTCAGACGTTTTTGACTTTAAAGGAAACGTACCATATGCAACATTTGTACCTATTCTAAATTGATTAATAAAACAGTTTAACAATGATATTTCAAATCGGTTAATTTTACTGGCTATTTCCTTGCGGTAAAGTATTATACAAAAGCAAAATCAATGCCATGTCACACCTACCTCGAATCCATTGCATATTATAGAACTTTCGTAAACGGAAAAGAATTCGAGGTGATGGCCATATACCTTAGTAATTAATTTATATTATTATTCCAGACACGAATCTTCATAAAGAAAATCATGTTGAGCTCATTCGTGGACATTCGTTAGACAAAGCTAGGAAAAATATCATAGGCATGTTTGGCATATGGAACTCTCTGCCGACACACGATAGGCTGTTATTATCCCACTAATGGGTTAATTCGCTTCCGTACTGCGTGTGGTTTATCGTTTCACCTTAGCCAGGACAAAAATAGAATCGCTAACAGCATTACGGCCCCAAGAGACGATAGTGATATGTGCTGCCAAACCACAGAATATTCCTCGACCATCATAAGTTAGTTCAAAATACAATCGATCGAACAGGAATGTATCGGACGTGGTCTCAGTAACTCTTTCAGTCGATAAAATATGATTATGCGTGTTATCTTCCATTTGTTTATTTCCAAATAATAGATATATTATTGAAGTAATTTTGCTAAACTGACCCCTCTTCTTGCGACGTTTTCCCATTGTTTTCATACTACATGCCTTAACTAAAACGTTTTCATTCCGACATAAATAGAATAAGAGCAGGAATTAACTTTAATAAATTTAATGTAGTTAGTCATTTATGACTTCATGGAGATAAATACAAAAATAAAGCATGGAATGGAAATTATTTATTATCTACAATTAGCTACGAGGCAAACAATTTTGATTTTTCAACATTTTTCGAGTTCTTTGTAACAGCACTCTTTTCCTCTTTTTTTCTGGTTACGTTTGACGTAAACTGATGTAGTCATCGCATTGCGTCAGCGTCAAAGTTGTGGACTCGTGTCACGTTCACATTTCTTTTACCCAAAACCGGATATTTCTCCTCATTTGTAAACACGCATAAATTGTTCAGAAACAACTTCCGATTGGAAGCAGCAATTCGAAAAACTTGGTTGCAAATTATTTTTAGAAGTAATTGAAAATGCTCAATTTTTTCTATGAGAATATATATTTTTAATTATTGGATTGGTAATGGAAAACAAACTAGGTACGTAAACTAGAAGCAATATTATCTAATTCGTTCCAATTTGTAGTTGATCATTCCAACCTCGTCCAAAAATAACGTGAAATTATTTGCCATCGTCAATTAATTATGGGTTTTATACATAATAAGTTTCTTTTCACTGCACCCCGTGTTGAAACAACGTCATTGAAGCAGTTCAACAATTCAATTATCACATTCTACAAAAGGCAATTATAAAACAATAGATGTAGTGATCCAACTGTACAAAAATTTGCTTTGTGTGGCATAGCATTAGTTCATTGATTGGCTTGTCCGCGTGACCAGAGGCTTAGGGTTGGTTGTTCAATCAATTGTTAAACATTAGGCCGTAGCACGAGTCTCCTCACAGCCTTTTTACCTATAAGAAGTCGTTATCAATGAAGATTTTTGCATTTGAAAATCCCGTATTCTTGTGACTGCTTGCAAGAAACCGTATTAAGAGCAAGCACAGGAAACACCTCAAGCTAACATTCACAAATTCAGTAAAACATACTTTGAACACACGACTCATTAATTTGGATTCATCCATTCTGGCAACGTTCTCTTTCTTTCTTCCTGGCCCTCAAGATTTTGGACCTTCTGGAGGACATAACCGACAACTTCAGTATATCGTTCCCAAATTAGGTAAATAAAATTGGAGTACCTCTGTATTTATCAATTAATTTCACCTATTTAATTTATTCACAGTTGAACTGCTCACGTCCCCACACTCCCCTGCCACACCCTGTAGCATAATTTTAGATGGACCAATTCCCACGGATGTAAATGTATGTCGACATGTAATATTGTACCAATACAAAACATAAAAACACGTCTAGTACAACAGGTCCCATTCACAATATGTCACGTGATATGTTATTAGCCTAAAGATGTCTTCCTCCATCGCCTAAGTATGTCCCAAGCATGGTAATTGGCGCTGCTTTCCGCATAGGCTAAATATATTTCTGCACGCATATTTTAAATAGTAGTGAATGTTTCGTGGACCATACTTGGTCAGCAAAAAACAAATTGGATATCATATTCAACCCAAGCTGTTATATCAAAGCGCTTCGTGTACCAATCCAGATAAGCATGTTCGAAATATGTAGACGCGGAGAGAAACTCTTTGAACTGCAGAGATAGCGTGGTCAATACAGAATCCATTGTCTTTGAAACCGATTCTTTACTCATATTTAGTCATTCAGAAATAGTCCTTTACAAACGGTGTAATAGATATATGATATCTACATCACGTGACTAAATATCTTCGAATCGATGTCACGTGATCACACTTTTTTATGATTTGTTTTGCATTCACGTAAAGAATTAAAATTAAGTTTGGTAACTACATAACCGTATAATTATTCTTTTGTACAAGCGGATTTTGGTCGGAAGCAACTTCGTCAAAATGTTGCAGCCGGCGCTGCAAAATAAATAGTACCTCAGCAATGCATGGTATTTCGTTGCCACAAAACCAATATTTAAACCTGTAAGTTGCACAAATGTATCTGGTTTCTGTGGTTTAATTACATTTTTTTTTTTTGAAAAAATGGTAAATTTGAGAATATTTCGGAGTAATTGTGACGATAGAAAAAAACATGTTCGAAAATTGTCATTTTGACAAATCACACACTAGCCGTAGCAGAGCGAATATAAAGTTTAATTACAATGAAAACGCATCAATAATAACTTTACTATTCTACAGATTGTCAGTGGATTTTTCAAACAAGCTTATTCTGCCCCAGCAGAATCTTTTGGACTTTTGGTATTTTCCAGTACTGAAGAAAAAAAATGTGCTATCACTGCCTAATATAAATGCTGAACCTTGTTAAATATAAACTTAACTTTCAATCAGAGCATTTTTTTATTATGGGTTTGTTACGTTTAGTGATGGTTATCCATACTCAATTTTAATGAGGAAAATGTGAAACGCTCACAAAGTATAAGTGAACAATCGTTTGTCAACATAAATGTTTAAATATTATCTTAGAATAAAATCGTAACATCGAGTTGTTTATGATCACTTCGTTATTGTTTTTCTCACACAACCGGAACTCATGACCGCAAAAATCACGGTTGTTTATTGTCGATTTTCAAGAAATAACAGATAAAAAAACACATTTTCGCTTCGTTTCCATAACTCTGTTTCTATCATAATATATTATTATATTACCCCTCAACTTTTCTATCTTCATTTACAGTTTTTTTCCCTTGCGCATGTTGTCTTTTAATTATGTTGTTGTTATGGGGAAATCGCTTTTCTCATTAACTATTAACCAATGTATTATTTGCGTTGGAATTTTCAGTGATTGAAGATTGTATTTTTCGCTATATGGCCATTATTCCTATTTATTTCGAAAATTACTGTGGACTCCAAGGGATTCGTTCTTTCGTGTGCGATACCCGTACTAGTTTGTCTTGACCTTCGTGTCTATATATTTAAGCATCGCTTTCTCGTTTTATTTTACAATCGTTTGCTTTCGTCCACTTTTTAATTGAAACGAATGAAAACTTGCAATCGGCAAAAGTTTTTTGTATAATTACTTTTAAAGTTTTTTTTGAATACGTAAGGAATCTACAGTTAAAAGCATCACAATTTTTTTCAGTCCGGAATCGTGAATAGCATCCACTCAAGGGAAGTTTTTGATAGCATTACAGTCCAATCCGCAGAAATACTGTGCCGACCATCGCCTTCAGAAAATTACGTCAGTGGGGTCACTAAAGGTCGTTCTACCATTTTTTTTGAACAAAAAATTTAATACACATACAAATTAAAAATTTAAAGCCACAATCCTGTCTGTCATTTGCTTCCTGAATAGTAATCCCACTTCTTAGTCAATCTCAATTGTATAATCAAGTATTTCTGATTATATTGGGAAAATTTAAAATAAAAGCATGATAATACAAATAACGGGTTTTAAAACAATCGCCTTCACGACTTGCCACCAATTGTGCGTTTTGTTCCGACTTTCGTTTCCATTGTCTTAATTACAACATGCTAACCGATTGTTAGCGAGCGATTAAAAAATTCCGAGGATTTCGTAAGCTTTCAAATATATATTTTCTATAAAATAATAGATTTTTATCGCGTTAGGTTGGAAACAAACAATGCGGGTATTTATATCACAATACATCTGTTGGCGGGAGGTGATGTTGCTTGAATTACATGGTTTTCTAGTCGAATACGACGTAGGTAAACTATCTGTTTGCTATCCAGAATGTAGGCTGATGTCTTCCGATGAAATTATTCACGTAATCAATAAGTGGTAACATTAATTCCACTTCAAATGTTCACTCCAACTACACCATTCCTAAACTATTTCATTTGTTGTTGACAATATGACCCAAATACATAATAATGTGTTTTGAAAACGACTATACATCAATTATTTCCCGGAAGCTATAGGGTCAAGGGTTACAAACCATGCGATGCATAAAACACCATTATTGAAACAGTCTTGAGGTTTACGTCTGTACAACTTGAGAGATACACAAATGCACATTCGTTCTATTCCGCTAATGAGTTCTATAGCACTGTCTTTTTGTTTGATTACCTCAAGTGTAACTCTCGGAATAATGAATATTTTTTTACTATGTTTTAATTCGAAATTCATCTATGAATATTCTAGTAAACAATTTAAATTTAAAAATAGACAAATAAATTTCTGTATTGACCTCAATCCCGGCCATTTTGGAACGAATACTAGCACTACTTACTATTCGTGAAGAATAACACAACGCGAATAACACCAGTCAGAGGATAATTGGTGCTTAGTCACCCGTGCAAAAGAAATGTAGATCGCTGTCAAAAGAGGGAAACGCGATACCCGACCCAGTTCCGCAGCAAGCAAACAGTATTAACCCCCTGTCTTACTTTAAAATTTCTCCGCAGTGAATAACGTGACTGGCCACTTGAGGGACAATCTTCTACAGTGTGTTGCGACAGCTTAATGCGGGCCCAAGAGTTTGGAGCTCCCTCTCAAGTGGGTTAAACCGTAAAATGGGTTACGCATCAGTTTATATGGGGTATCGAATGCTTACCCCATATGGAAATGAAGCGAGGCCGAGTTAAGTTGCCTGTATACAGCGTATATACACAACAACAAATCACCAAATAGCTTAATGTGTGACGTCACAAAGTGATTTATTTACGTTTATGAGGTAAGGAATCCAAGTATGGCGTAATGGTAATACTCGTTTTATTAAGATAAGTTCATGTCATATCCATACTTGACATAAGATACATCAAAACTTCATTTATTGCTGCTAAATGTAATTTGAGAGGCCGATAGGAAGAATCGAACCCTAATGAGATTAGGGATTAAGCTTTCGGAAAAGATAGGCATGAGAAAACGAAGCTTAATTTCGTATTTTCGCGCCACTTTGGAAGCAACATTGTTTTATTTTGATGTAATTCAATGATGAACGAATTCAACCCCATAGAAAAACAATTGGATCTGATCCGTAATTTGTTCATTTTTATTCCATGTATCGAGTTTCCAAACACTTAATCGAGGATAATCGTTACAAATTGGTGCTGTTTTATTTTCTTTATTTCCAATTGTTTGGAAATCATTTTTACTCGCACCTGATTGGGTAAACTGAAATTTTAAATGATTTAGTAACAATTGCAAAATAGTATCTTTACAGGAACGATACTACCACTGACACTCTCTCCCCCCCACGCTTGCACTCTCTTTCTCGGTGTGCTCTCACTGCCCCTCAAAATGCAACATTTGTGTCAGATTTGAACTTGGTGTCGTGAGACTGAATTTCTTCACCACCTTCTGGCCGCATACGATAAAATGCTATCATTTACGAGGCTGTATTGATGACTAAACTATCAAATATCTTTCAGTGAATTTCGGAGAAAACGTTGATGGCAATCACAGAATGAAATACAACGCGATCATTTTTACCAAAGTTTTATCTTTGGGGCATAAAAAATATCGAAGGAATTTTTAAAACCAAAATAAACTATTGCAGTTGATTAATCATTTAATGTGAAAACGTGTGACAAACGGAAAGTTCAATGCATGACATTGATAACGTCGTTTGGCAATAATTAAAAATATTTAACCAGTTTCCAAATCAGACACGTCATGTGTTTATATTTTGATATTGTATTGAACTATTGAGGTGGTGTAATATCTTTACATCAAAACGTACGACCACCGAAGTTGTCACGACTTTTTGACGAAATTCGTATCCAAAACAAAGAAAAACATTACAAATTTTATGCTTCTTTGTAAGACTTAATGCATAATCAGGCTAAAAATCAAATTGATCCTGGCTCCAGTTCGACCATAACTTCGCCTGAAAAGCTGTGTCCTATTTATAATTCCAAGCGAGAGATAAGCAATGTCTATAGTAATCGTGGATTCTGGTTTATTCTAAACCTCTTTTTTAATCAATACAAAGATTTGTTTTTCACACGTTGGTTATTTTGGTCTCAACCGGTACCATCAAAAAACCTCAAACATAATTAGATACGGATTCGGTTATTTTTATCCCAACGGGTATACTGTAAGTATTCATACAAGTACCAATGCGAATAGGTTGGTGTAGTCTAATGAATAAATTATCTAGTCAACCGTTTTGTTAAACAAAAATTTTGTCGGGCTTTGGTTTCGGATGTGGTTTTTGCGGTTTATTCTGCGGATGTCTGACGTAATTTACGTGGAATGCATGACTAATCAGGCGTGAAAGCGCATTCACAATTTGGTGCCCTACGGTGGCATGAAAAATTGACCGTACGGTTACTAAACAATGTAGTCATACAGCAGTAACTACTCCCTTCCATTCGCATAAGGCACATCGCTAAAACAATTCACGAAAACAATGTTGATCAACGGCCCATGTCCAAACAATGATATTCATTTTTCTTTCTAGATTCAAACAAAAAGTTATCTTGTTTGGCATAATTTCAAATAATTTCGCTATGATACAACGGTCATTGGAAACGAACGACCTTGTGGTGACCTAAACGTTAAAATTGAAAGTGGCTATCGTCACTCAACAACAATATATAACGTTAGTCTCATATCACGTTATAACTATGTAACTGATCTGAAATGAAGCAATCAATATAGTTTTTAACGATGAAAAATATCTATTAAATATAAGCCGATGAATCGAGTTTCTACCGGCATAATTACAAATTAGTTTAGTACGTCACGTTTTATCATGTCGTATTACGAAATAAAAGCTTATTACAACGAAGACGACTCATATTTACGGAGTTTTGGTATAGTTTATTTTGTAACACCTTAGGGTGTTTCCGCTGCTAACAACATGTTGGACCAAATGATCGAAATACCGCCATTTTGAGCATTATGCATTATACACACCTCTTCAAGCAATGATTTTTTTAAAACTGATCGTTAAGCTCGTCTTGTTCGCGAGTTGGTCAAGGGTGTCTCCTCTACGTCCAATCATTCGTTCAGTCAGGAATGTGACAGATGCGATTAATTCACTGCAAAACAAGTAAACACAAGAAACAGAAAACAAATAACTGAGTGAAAGATCCGCTTGTTCCGAGATTGTCCCACCACTTGCGTTTCACACGCGCCTGTGAATAAAACAAATCAAACATCACGTGTTTAATAACACACACACTCGTGGTGATCCGCAAAGGATGTTTATCCTCGCGCCTCAATGCACACGCAAACATCCCGTCTGTCTGTCAGGCGAAAGTACGTTACAACAAAAATGAAGGCCGATGTTAGAATCTGTATATATTGTATACTTCACCCGTCTTATCGTGATTAGTAACCCGCTATTCATCAAGAAATATTTGTGGTTGGAGTTCGTTTAAAAAGCGGCAATGACCATGCTTAACAAAGAACACCTAATTACATTAGAATATAGGTAAAAACAACGATTAGTTTAGACACTGTATAAGCTTGTAATGAAAATATCAAAAATAAATCATAATTCCTCAAAAGCCGGAGGCTTCTTTCCGCTATGCCAAATATTTGAACCTGAATGATGCATAAATTTCCCGTGGGCTAAAAAAGCTTTTAAATATTGAATTGAAAGTTTTGAATAAATCTAGAATTCTGGAGCATGAATTTTCGAGCGACGTGGCTTTCAGATCCAAATAAGTGCCGGATTCAATCCTAGTATGTCGCAACACTTTACTATTCAAGTTATTTATTTTCGAGGAAAAACTGGTACCTGTTGTAACATCACCAACGATTTTCGTGTTTGAATGAGTACATAAGGGGAAAAATAAAAAATACATCTCATGATGAAAATTAGGATTTGCGATTCTGGGAAAATTTTCAAAACTTGCACAAGAAAATGGCTTCCGGACTTTCAATGGCAGAAAATCCCAAGTTAATGTGAACGGTGACAAGTAACCCCAAAACACGACGACAGATACTACAACTCTGGGGCGAATTCACTATTTCCATCAGCGTTGGCTCTCCCCAGCCCCACCTAAAAGTGGGGCAAGGAATGCGAACCCGATACCACAGTCACTACAGCAGAAATATGCAGCTGATATTAGCATTAAGTATGTGGATCATAATATTACTGAGAGATTATAGAAAATGTGGCCAGGTCGCCATCCATGAAAGTTCATTTTTTATTTTTGAAAACCATGAACTTTCAACCCTAAAACCTTTTTGGATTCATTGGCTTTTGATTCGAAATTATATTATTTTTGACCAAACATAATATAAATTTTTAATACTTTTGTCGCAGCATAGATGCTTTCACTTTTCGGGTAGAATTTGCAATAAGAAAGAAATAGACTTTTGGTGGAATGACGAAGAAACGTCTGCCCTCAGATTTTCAATTTTGTAATTTAGTTTTTAATGTTAATTGTGAAAACAGTTTTGCCTGTCAGCCCGGTTCAAAATACATTCTATACTTCCAAAGTTTATTAGTATATATTGTTCAAAATGGTTTCTAACATCGCAAAATTTGCTGCAATATTCAATTTTGTAAAATCCATGAAATTTACAAAACAAATTTTATTTACAGCTCATGAACGTAGAACAGAAGTAATTATTGCTTTTGCTTACATACTTCGAGTTAATTATTTCAAATTTGCACCTCGAGACTTAGTCTTGTCTATAGCCTGTAACGTATTTGATTTACTAAGGAATCTTAACGATAATACGGCATCACAACTGTTATGCAAGTTTGATAGAGAAAAAATTTCGGAACGATGCAATACCATCCCATGTGTGTCAGTTTTATCACATATTTGACTGTCCCGGAATAAGTAATGGGACTGATCGTAAAATAATCGTTTCATGTTAAATTCTTATCACCAAAAGGTCGTCCTTTTCACACTAAAATAAGCCAAGGAACCGCCATTCTTGTGGTCATATTTGGCCGTAAACAGTCCAGGTTTGAAGGCTAAAGCTTCGCTACAAAGATCAAATTATGGAACACTGAGACTCGAAACGCATAAATCACAAGTACCTGAGTCAATGCAGCTTTCTTCAAGTTATTCTAAACAAAAACACACCTGCTGTCCATCGCACAATTTCGTCACTGGAAATATCAGTTTCTGTTTAAAGTAAGGAAAACACAAATTTATCTTCCAGAATTTTTTCCAATGACACTAGCGGTTGTATTTCCACATTGCATTCTCGCCAAGCTAACGTTATGAGTTTTGTATTTTTGTTTTGGTAAAAAGACAGACAACGGTAATAATTAGTAAATTAATTAATTTAATTGGGAAAGAATATTGAAAAGCTGAAGTTCTAAGAAATGCACTCATGATAAATAATTTACTTCGGATAATAATAAAACTGTTTGTAACGAATGCTAGATCATAAATCGTCGAAAAAACGATATTTTTTATGTTTCATATTCAACTTCCAATAGTAGAGTAAATATTAGTAACAAAAAATGTAAATTTCAGTCCGAGTCGACGTTTTGCAACTGAAAAAAGGGGCGCTCCAGAAGTATGTGCACCAAGATGGCGCACAACCTGAACCCTAACCTGGTACAACTACCAAGTTCAGGTTGCGCGCCATCTTGGTGCACATACTTCTGGAGGTCCAAAAAAAGGCGCAACGCTAAAGCATGGTGATATGTTCAAATATCATATATAAATATATTACGGATTCATAGTCAATAGGTGTATCGTTTATGCCATGAGAATAAATTCCATATAAAATTACCGTTGTTCTTCATTGCATGAATTGCTATTGCAAGAATAGTTTTGTATGCCAAGCGTGATTTACGATCGAGTTCTTTTGTCAATCGCGAAGTGGTTGAATTATCCTAACTAGCTGCAACTGGGTGACATGAATTGCATTCGGGCTTATCCCTGACTAACTGATGTGTTAGAAGTATTTTCAATATTCCCAACAAATGGCCATAACATGCTATGTCTATGTTCATAGCGTTTGCTAACAGCGCTGGATCAGACCTTGCACTATAATAATTTTAATTTAGTGGAAAGCAATTCGAAAGTATTTTTTATTTTGAGTGTATTCAACTAATAGCAGGTCGAACACAAATAAACCCTGTTTACACTGTACCCAAATTACTGATTATATAGAACGTTAATGATACTGTGCTAGTTTTGTTATTGGAAATGATTAATTTGTTGTTTATGATGTTTTTGATTGAGTATTGAATGATAGAAACGTCCGATTGTGCTTTTATTTTCAACGTACGTTTCTAAAACAATTAGATTCAAGTTTCTGGAATAGTTTAATAAAAGACTGCTGTATAAATACAATGCTTTTGTCATACACCGCCCAATGCCCGAGAAGATCTAGCCTTGATTACGCTAACAAATAGCTACAAATAATATGATGAAATATGAACTGAGGAGCTAAAAACAGCAATGTCCCTTTTCACTTCACCCCACACAGGTCGAATTTCCGATTTTTCAACGACACTCGCGCGCGCTCGTATGTTACAAGACAAAACTACGGGTTGTAGACTGATCTGAAGCATTGTTCGTTAACTAGGGTTTAAACAACCTCCATTCAATGTGCCTTTTTGTGGTGGTGAGTCAGGACGCTTTGTCAAAAGTCCAACGAAAACAATATCTTTTAATTGCTGGAAGCTCGTCTTGCAGAAATTTACAAAAGCTTGGTAACCAGATATTGGTAAATTAACTAGGGTAACCTCGTGTACACAAAAGGGAAAAATTTGGAATCCATTAGCAACCCCCTAACATTGATACTTTGGGGTCTAGTTTGCACGTGATGATTCCAGTTCTAGATAACTATTATTTGGTTCCGATGAAATGCTTTGCTCGAATATCAGGTCTTAATCTAACTTGCCGTAGTTTTTGAAAATTTCATCACATTTTGTCTATTCAACACTGTAAACCGTAACGTTACTATTTCAAAAGTTGTCCAGACAAAAATTTTACAGAGGAAATATTATTTTCAAGCTAAATATTTTTGTTCTGATAGCAAACAAATTTGATAAGATAAATGCCTACGTGACCAGCTTGTATTTGGTATAGTATAGAAATAAAAAAATTCAGAATTCGAGTTCCTAAGTTGCACTCTCATGATTCATCAATGCCTTCTCGTCCATAATATTATTTCCGACACAAGGATCATTTTGTCACATTGTTCATCACATCTGGTGACTTCAAGTCTGCAGAAAATGTCTGGAAACGAAATTTCATCTGAATATTTCATTTGAAATATGTATTTTTGACAAAAGAAAGCTTCAGATGAGACAATAGCGACAGATTCATCACGTTCCGTATACTAAAATCATGGTTAGCAGCTCAAGAGTGCACAGTCTAAATTGAGACGAGAATTGATTTTAAGCATGACCCATATATAATACGTGGTTTAAAATAGCCACATATAGGTCTCCAGCCAAAATATGGCGACATTACTTTCCCACGCCTTTGGATGAATTACTCTTCTGTCTTATAGCACTTGGTCCCTTGTTGGCGGTCACTTGTAGCCATCTAGGGCCAACTTCATTCGCTCGGGCGGTTGTCAGGGCAATTATAGACTTCCGATTGCCGCATATATCCTTCAAATGACCGTCTTGAGGCATTATGACGTAGCAAGGACTTCCAGTTTCTTTTCGGATATTCGTGATCACTTGTAGGGGTCAAGGTTCGTTATTTGCGTTTCCGTGCTGACGGCGTGGCGCCTGTAATGGTAAATTGTTTGGCTGCTTACCCAGTTGAATTCCAATGATTTTGTATCTTCATCCGACAGCTGATGATTTAAAAATTGAGATTCAAAGTTTAGAGTAAAAATTACAACTGACCCCAATGTATTCATCATATTTGAGCAATGAATACCTGATACTGTATGATATCGTAACATTTCTTATAGTAAACAACACGCAAATGTCACCAAAATCATTTTCAAGTATATTTACGTCAAGTTACGTAAACTTACAAAAAGACAATTCAAAAGGTCATGTTATCGTTTTCACATCAAAACATTTGCACAGTTATTATGTTGGTATGAGGTGGATATCTTCAAATCGGTAAATCGCCCAAAATTATAAATAACAATTTTTATGCAGTAACGTTTTGTGATGTCTCGACACGGCAGTAACAGAGGACAGACAAACAAATTTGCAATAAAAGATCTAAATCTTCAAATATCACACAGCCTCATAATTACATATAAAGAAACCATACACATCGCATATGATACAATTTACATTGCGAACTTGTCATAAAGTATGGAGGTAAATCGCACCATTCTCCGTGTGAAATACAGTATAACCAATTGCAACGTAAGACTTTTATTTCACATGAATGATTTTGTAAGAAATTTTTGTGTCCGGAGTTACAATAATCCGGATGTTGTTTTCCTTCTCCTTTGAAGCTTGGATGACTACTATTCAGTAAGAAGGATGTGGAAAGACTAGTCTTTTGTATGAGTGGTCGAAATCATGAAATTTCTTTTATTTCAAGTATATCTCATCGATTACAGATGCCATCTATTCGGCTTGAACTCATCAAGAAACATTAATCGGGAAATTTGCGTGTGCTCATAGAGTATTATTCAAAAATATAAGTGCTCATCGAATAATATTCAAAAATAAAAGTACACATTAGTAATATATATGTTGTTTTTTAATCGGGTGTGAGCAATACATAAAGTTATGATTAATTTTAAAAACGACAGAATATGGTGGTAGTACATCTATGAAACCAAACACAAATTTACTTAACTATTTTATGAAATATTACATGAAGATTTTCCCAAAATTTTGGACTATTCATTACTAACCAAAATCATTAGAGTTACTATCATATTTTGTCCCCAAATAACCCACGGTCCTCATTAAGAGGATTCTTATGACCCCATTGGTGACTCCATGAGAATTACTCGTATTGTGATATCATATGTTTTGCAATACAAATGTACTTGAGTCAGAATTTACAGTCGTCATAATTTGTTGACGTCACTTGGAAAAACAAGAGTCACATAATACAGCGTGGCTCCGTAGATTTATAATTAATTCAACAAGATCGGAAGCGTATGTATTTTTTAGCTTCGGCCCATGATGAATCTGTTATCGAAGGCATATAAAGTAAGAATTTACTTGATAACCTGTGTGATATAACAATGATTTTTGAATGACCATTGCAGTAAGTGTAAAGTTGTTTTTGTAAGACCTCATCTTACAGCCAAATCTGAATTTGAATCGTACTTTTCAAAATATTTTGTTTATTCCAGGTCAATGTCAACATAAGCATTACTCAAGATGAAGGATATCATGTAACATTCTAACAGATCTAATTTTTGAATGATCCTTGACCCGGAAATCCGGACTTTCAATGCGGAAACCAGTTTTATACACTCGAGTAACCTTAGCTTGCAAATTGCCCAAAAATGACGTGTTCAGAGGTATTATAGCACATTAACGTTTACATAACCTCTAATATTTTCAATACATTCGAATGATTTGAAATAGAATAAAGTTACATTTAAATTCTAGTCAATATCACAATTTTATTTTATATTTTCATCCCGAGGTCTTACAACGTTTCACGTGATTGCACAAATGCCTTGTCGGTTTGGTATAAAGATATATACAAACTAATAGGAAGAAAACCAATGCGTGAGTTGATGGCATAAAATGATTACAAAGCTTATGGCATCCGGTTTGGTAGCCTACGGGCTCATATGCGGCGTGTGCGCGGCATCTCGGGAGACTTAAAAATCAAAACAGTCGTCGACAACGACGTCCAAATAGTATTTAATTTAAACATAAAGATTTACATCTAATGCTCAAAAGAATGCGACACGAATTCGGAAAGGTCTTGGACATTTTTCCTATAAATGTACTTTTTGAATTTTCATGTTTCTTTTGATTTTTATAAAAAAAAAGGAAATTTCCAGAAATAAAAATGTTAAATTATTTTTGTAATATTATATGAATGACATGAGATTAATGCTAAAAATGTCTTACAGGTTACTGTAAACGTAAAGTTATTGCAACATACTACATTCCTAATGTTATAGTCATAATATATATGCCTTGCATGATATTATATTAAATGCCCGTTGGTCATGGGCTTATCCAATGAGAGTGGGCTTTTTCATGAATATTCATTGAAAATCAAATTTTGTCTATTTCAATTTTTTTAAATGCAGAACATTTTATCTGGCATGAAATATTTTTAGAAAATCGAAAATTTATCCGTAGAAAATTTTTTCGTATAAAACTTAAAAATAATCTGTTACTTGAGGCGTTTCTGTACATAATATGCAAATATTCATATTTTATGAAATTTTGAAGTAATTTTTTGAAAACAAAAAATTTGAATTTAAGAAAAAGTCACATAACTTACTCAAAATCAAGATGAAACTGAGATTAAAAATAAAATTCCTGTTATAATATTTTATTTTAATTTTTAACTCTTGGTTGACAATTTTATACATCGCTCAGGGCCTTTTCATACTGCCTTACC